CTCGCGTATTACACAGGATCCGCTTGTTGCGCGGCGGCGGGCTCGACCAGCCGCGCCAGGGCGCAGCCGGAGCGCGGCGGGCGTGGTCAAACGGCGCAAGCCTGGCTCGCGCGCCACCACACTCACCGCTCACGGTGTCCTCGAAATAGGGGGACGCCTGGAAGCTCGGGCGCACGGCGCTGCGCAGCGACACCTGGGTCCATATCGCATAAACGACGACGAAGAGCGTCGCCAGCCGCAGGCGGACGGCGAGCCCGCCGAACATGGTGCTCACACTGCTGGTGGGGCGAGCGCAGGCGCCGGTGTGGTGCTGCACGGGTTCAAATTGTGCTGCCGCAGGTGATTGTGGCTGCTGGTCCGCCTTCTAGATTGGGTGCCGCTTTATGAGCGCCGATCGATTTGGGCTCTAAACCTGTTGCAACACACGCCAAACGTACAGCCTGGGATTGGTGATCTCCGCTGACGATCGGTAATCAGGAACTTATATTAGGTGTGATACAGGAGATATGGTAGGTAAATAGTGATGTGCCGTGACAGGGAGGTCTCGCAGCGGCCTACACCAGCAACGCACGGCATCAGCAGCTGTGCGTGAGGCAGTACTGAAGTACTGGGGGGCAAGCAGGTTTCCTTGCTCAGCGCTCCCTGCATGCACGTGCGACGAGTTTCATGAGCGTGAGAATGGTAAGCCGCAGTGGTGTCTTTGACAAAGTGATCCTGAGGCTTGGGGCGGGACTGCTGGTGGTTAGTCAGGTCGCCGGCAGACAGGCGATCCGCGTGTCAGCCGAGGGGTGCAACATTGGCAGGCTTTTGGAAAACTCATTGTGCGGCAGTCTCGGGGTTGGCGGCACTCCAGCCAATGTCAGCGGCGTGGCACCACGCACTGAGCCACCCCAATTGTTGATCCAACAAATCGGTGCGTGGTGGTTGACTTGCATCGGGGTGCTCACAACCCACAAGTCTGTGCCATACTCCTTTATTAACCCGGACAGGATATCCTGGTGCTGGCTCGATGTCATTGTGGCATGAGCGGTTTGGGCCGTGCGTGCTGCTTGCTCGCAGCATGCTTGTCACGCCAAGCATTTGACCAAGCTCATTGGCATCAAGTTCTTGGGCATTATGGTGTGCATCCACACAAAAATGTACGTGCAGACTTCCCTTTGCAGCGAATGTTTCAGGGGACAAGCAGCAGCTGCAGAGGCAGAGTGACAATTCCAAGGCTTGATCGTTGTAAGCTTGCATCTCACGTGAATTATCATATATCGTTCTCGCTCAAACACGATCGCTTACAATAACAAAGCTGACACCCTGACACGCCCTCCGTTGACCGCGACAGAAACCGTCGAGACTATTGCAAGCCCGATCTGGTAAAATTCAGGTGAAACAGACATCTCAAAATGATGTAAACACCGTTGTGCCACGGGCATGCGCATGTGGAGCAGCAGCGGGATGCAGCGCACGTGCGCGCGTGTGTGTACGCTGCATGCTGCCGCGCTGTTCATGGCAGCACCGGCACGCATGCGGCAACCAATTCAAAGCGCTCGCAAACAGGGCCGATATGTCCAGGTTGCGCAGGCCTCACAGATCGTGCCCCCTGCGCTGCCGCGCCGCCCCCGGTGCTGCCGCAAACATTGCTGCCCAACACCATGCACCAAACCCGCCCCTGCGCAGACGCAGCAGGATCCGCGGCCCCAGCAAGCGACACGACCCCAAACAGCTGACACAATGGCGACCCCGCCGCTCGACGCAAAGCTTGAGGGTGAGGCGCGCAGGACAGGGCACATGGACTGCGCCGCTTTCCTCACCCCGCCGCCCCCCGTGCCGCCCTGTCCGCCAGCCCAGGCCACCGTTGTGCATAATTCACCAACCTACCCCTGTCGGATGGTAGATCTCAACATCCATATCCCAAGCTCAGATAACAGACCCTGCCCCGCCGCCCGCAACCCGCGCCCCTCCCACTTCTGCTCGCCAGCCGAGCTCAAGGCGGCGTTCTACGCCTTCGCATCCTTTGGCAGCGGCAGCGGCGGGGTGCGCACTGCCGCAACTGCGCGGCCGCTGGGCCACGCGTGTCCCGTTTTGGCGTGCCAGCCGTGCGCATGCCGCAACCGCCGCGCTCGTACGTAGCACCCCATGCCTGCAGCGTAGGCACGCCCACCCACCCGGCATGCAAGCCAACACGTCGATGTGGGCATCCATGCGATGCTTTTCCCAATTAGTCTGCGATCTCATCCAACACGCAGAAGCTGGTCGAGATGGAGGGCAAGAGCCTGATCAAGCTGTGCAAGGTGGTCCGGCAGGCCTTCAGCGACTGGCACGCTGCCGTTGCTGCAACGTCATCCTGGATGGGATTCAAGCGGGGGTGACCGCTTGCGGGCCCTTCTTGATTTCACGCGTATGGCCGCCTGCATCACTGTTTGAACTCTTGCCCACGTCGAATCTGCCCAAAACCCAACAACCCACACCCATGTTGCTGCCTGCGTGTGCGTCCCTCTCTGCTGCCGCAGGACTGCAAGCTGATGGGCAAGGCGCTGACCACCACCGACATTGACCTCATCTTCGCAAAGGTACATGCCAAGCTTGGAAACGCGTCGTTCGGTTGCTGCAACGAGAACAAGCGCGCCGCACGCGGGGCCCCAGACACGGGGGTGGTTTTGACCACCTCACTACGGCTGCTTTTGCTGGTCGGTTGTCTCAGCGCATGCCCGCACCGCTCCTGCGCTTGCCAATGGCGATGTGTCTGCTCCCTTGAGGCTGAGCAAGCTAGTCAAACCGTCGCAATAGTTTGCCCCCAAGTCACCAGCGTCCCCTCGCCTTCCATGACACGAAACCATCCCATGCGAAGGTCAAGGCGAAGGCGGCCCGCAAGATCCCGTACGAACAGTTTGTCACTGCCGTCGACGCCATCGCTGCTAAGAAGGTGCAACCGCCGTTGCTGTGCAGCGCACGCACATCAATACAGCACATGCATGCAGCTTGCGGAAGCCCGTCGCTGCCACGTAGCGGGCCTGCGCAGCCGGCCGTACCAAAACCGACAGATTCCCAGATTTATATTAGCGTTGCAGCAGCCTAGCGGGCGGGAGGTGAGGGCTGGGGGAGCCAGCGCGCTTGCCAAGGCCTTAGCAAGAGCATCTGCGTGCATGCAGCAGCTGCCCAAGGTGCCTGCCCCAAACCCCCCGCACCCAAGCACACTCCCTGCCGTCGCGCCGACGCGAATGAAAACCCTCTGCAATTCAAAAGGGCTGCTCATACGAGGAGGTGGTGAGGGCCATTGTGTCTGCCGGCGGCCCGGTCGACGGCGGCACCAAGGCCGAGGCGGTGCGCCTGCACGATGACAAGGTGGGGCCTGCGGCGACTCTGGGGGCGCCTGGAGATCTCCATTTTGGCGCTGCAGATCTCCAGCCTCCACCTTTCCTGACAGCCTCCTGCGCGCGTTTGATGGGTGGCGATCGACGAGCCGTGCATTGCTGCGCCAAACCGCTCGCACTCGATCCCTTGTTGAATCTGTACGATCCCGCACGTCCGACCATCGATGCAACGGCGCCCCCTCAGACGTGCTACACGGGGGTGTACGCCAAGGGCGGCCCCACCAACGTCGACATGGACCCCTCGTCCCTGGCCAGCCTTTGCGACCGCTCCCCCGCGGACGCGCGCGGCGTCAAGGTGTGTTCTTGTATGTTTGAAGGAGCCGGGAAGGCGGGAAGGCAGGGGCCTGGCCCGCCGCCCCTTGCTCAGGCCAAAATGAAGCATTGAATAAAGTCGTTTTCCGTTGCAATCACACAATCTTCCGCTGTGCAGTATCCCCGGTCAGCCGCTCAGCAGCGACGGCCTCGACGGGCTCCAACGCCCCCGCGCGTGCCGCTTTTCACATCGACAGGTGTCCGGCTCTGGCGGCGGCAGCCGCCGCGCGACGTCGGAGCTCATCGGCGCGGTGCCCGCGGCGCGGCGCTCGACCGGCGAGTCCGGGCGGGCCAAGTGAACAGGAAACAAGAACAGAGGGGGGGGGGGATCCTCGTCAGCCGAATGTCTGCTAATGAACATGCGTGATGACCACTCAAGTGGCTGCCCGGCAGTTGTAAAAACACCGAACGGGGCCGACCTGTTGAGGGGTAACAATCTTTCAGGAAGACCGCCTGCATCAAATGCTGCCATCAGTCGTTCTAGCGGGTGCGTGATGTGCATGGCTCCTGCGCTGCCGATTTCGGCTCCCGCATGGCCTGGGGGCCCCCGCTTGCGGTGACCAGAGCTGGGCAGCAGAAAGAGTAACGGTATCCGAAAGGAGAACAGGCTAGGGGTCTGCAATCTACATAATATGATAATACATACAAGCTGAAAGCGTTCGGTCTTGTACGGGCGCCTGTAGAAGCAGATCGCGGTTTGAGATCAGGCAGCAGCGCGTGAAATGAGAGCAGAAACAGCGCGTTATCTATTTAATGCGTCTTTAAGTTCCCTCAGACATCAAATCCCCTGGGCGCTGCTGCCCCTCACCTCCGCCGCTTGTGTGGCGCCCCGCACTGCTGCGGGTGATGGCGCAGCACGTGGGCTCCGCCTGGCGCCGGTGCGGCGGCTAGCGCAGCTCGTGAGGCAGCCTGGAAGCAATCAGACGGCCGGCGACGACCCCTCCTACCACAAATCGTTGTCGCCGCTCGCCCTCGCGGCCGCCGCCGCCGCCGCGGCCCTGGGCACCGGCGGCGCCCTTGCATGGCGGGCGCAGGGGGGCGGCGGCGAGCAGCAGTCTCAGGAGGAGCGGCGGCGAGCCGTACGCAGCGTGGCGACGCCGGCAACGCAGCGGCTTGTCGTGCGGTCGCTGGCCGGGCCGCTGCTCTACCTCGCCGGCCGTGCGACCGCCGAGCAGCTGCTGGGCGGCTTCCCGGACGGCGCGACGGGGGCGGGGCTCGACCCGCAGGCGCTGCTGCCGTGGTGGGTGCCGGCTGCCTGCTCCAGGGGGTTTTGACCGATGCATAAGCTTGTAAGCTGCCCGTACGTAAAACATGTGTATGGTCAACACCTTAGACACCTAAGATTTGTGGGCGGCTTGGATGATGAAGGATATATAGTGTGTTGAGTATGGAAATGCAACACACACACGAGCCACGCACAAGCAACATGTGCGCAGGGCGAACGCCCAGTCCTCGATCCAGGGCCCAACCCCTGGACCCCTCAACCCACCCACCCATGCGCCTGACCGACTGCATGCTCTGCGCCCGCTCGATCCCCATGCCACCCGTTCTTGAATTACCAGGGAGCTGTCGACCCTCCTTTTTGGGCTCGCCGCCCTTGGCGGCGGCAGCAGCGCCGGCCCTGGCGGCAGCGGGAGTGGCGGGGCGGGCGGCGCCGTGCCGGCGCTTGCGCATGCGGCGGTGGTGCGCATGCAGCAGCTGCCCCTATATGATGCCGCCGTGTCCGCCTGGGCGCTCATGCTTTTGCTGGGGGACGACGATGCTGCCGCTGATGGCGGCGGCAGCAGCAGGAACGGGGGCGGCGTCGTCGGGAGCGGGCTGCCGGCGCGGCGCGAGGTGTGGGCGGCGCTGGGGCGCCGGCTGGCCGCTGCAGCGGCGGACGAGTTGGACGAGGCGTCGGCGCTCGCGGTGCTGAGGGCGGCGATGGCGGCGGCAGACGATTTGTTGGCCGCGCGGGCCGCCGGGCCCGGC